ACACACACACACACACACACACACACACACACACACACACACACACACACACACACACACACACACACACACACACACACACACACACACACATAGATATGCACAAGTATTTTTTGATGACCATTCTATGTTTATTTATTATACATTTTTCATTGAGAATCAACCATTACGGAGGATGAATGATTACAAAAAAGAGTTCTGTTGAAATGAGCAATGTAACCTGAATCGTTTGACTCTGTTAACCAACACCAATATTCGTAATTCTGTTTTCTTCTTTCAAGCTGTGGCGTTTATCGTGTAATAGCTTTAATCTTAAAAGGAAGTCGATGCTGCACAAGTCCGTCGGTTCTGCCGACAGAGAGAGCTGTGACGCCCTCTGGTGGCTTCGATTGTGTTGGAGTCGGAGTCAAGTCGCCGAGTTGGAGAAATAGAACGTGTTCTATTTTGCACGACTCTGACGATTTGTTGACAAAATCGATAGTGTATACGCAGCATAATTACGTAGGTTTAATAGTGATGAAACGATTTTTCATCATCAAAATGTAGTTAGTCGAGCCATATGTTAGCGTTATCGCTCTACAGACTAGAACAGACTAACCATCAGTTTGTTTAAATAATAAACAAAGGAATAAAAAGCGAAAACTGTCGCGTTCTATAATCAAAGTGTTTATTAAATATAACTTCAACTTATCAATTTGAATATCAACTTTCCATTGTTACACAGCGTCAACAAAATTTGATGAACAGATCTTTGGATAATCGATGAAAGTTTATATAATATATATTCTACAGTTAAAACCCCATTACCTACATTAATGATTAAAAAAGAGAAGGTTAATAATTTTATGGCTGGTTAGCCGAGCTACTTGACTACGTTAAGCTTGTACCAAAATATCTTGTACTTTTTCTTCTTTTATTGCGGTTGCGTTTATCGCGGAATGGCTGTAATTTTATACGAACGTGGATACTGTATCAGGCCATCATTTCTTCCGACAGGGAGAGCTGTGACGCCCTCTGGTAGCTGGAAGGTAAAACGCTGCAACAGGTTCGCCATGACAGTAAACATCATGTCTCGAGCGATTTGCATGCCGGGACATATTCGGAAGCCGTTGCCAAACAGCATCATCTTTTTATCCGGTGCCACGACGACTCCGTTCTCATCTAGATACCTAGACGGGTCAAACTTCTGCGGCTGTGGGAAATTGATGGGATTCATTGCCATCTTGGTGTGGTTAACCAGTAGAACCGTATCCTTAGGCACGTCAAAGCCTCCTATGGTGGTATCATTCATTGCTGCGCGTATGCAAGGTACGGGAGCAATTATTCCTACACGCTGAATCTCCCAAAGCGTAGCCTCCAAGTAGGGCATGTTGCGGCGATCCTTCGTGGTCGGCGCCCTGCCGCTGCCGACGACCTCGTCAATCTCAGCCTGCAGCTTCTTCTGCACGTCTGGATTCTGCACGAGTAGCTGAATGCCCCAGATAGTGTTAGCAGTGACAGTATCAAATCCGGCACTCTGTAAGTCGTCTAAAACTGAACAGATGTCGGTGTTGGACACCATCAGCTTGCCCTTCTGCTGCTGGATTAGCAGGTGGTCGAGAAAATCGCGCGGACTGGACTCGTTCAACGTCTGCCGGTGTTCCTCGAGTAATTTCATGTGCCAGTCCATCATCGTCTGTACGAGTCCTTTTAATTCTTTGACCTCAGCACTGGTAATGTAGGCGAGCGATGGGAACCAGTCCACAAGCAGACATGATCCTAGTTCCAACCTTAAAGTAAAAAGGTACATGTTACGGAGTATCTACCGGGCCCTCTCTCCCTATCCCTCCATTAATCCCTTTCCTTCATACCTTCCTTCCTCCCTTTTCCTCCATCCCTTTTGTTTTGCCTCTCTCTCCCCCTCCTCCTTTCCCTCCCCTCTCTCCCTCCTCCGCTCTTTGTTATTATTCCATCTTATCTCGCTTTGTTTTTTTTCTTCCTTCCTCTCTCCAAGTCTTTACTTCGCTCTCTCTTCCTCGCTCTCTCTATATCGATACTTGACCCTGTCTCTCAATCCCACTGTCTCTATCTCTATCTTTGTTTCTATCTCTATCTCTATCTCTATCTCTATCCTTAATTCTACCTTTAGCTCTAACTCTAACTCTAGCTCTAACTATCACTCGCTATTTCTATCTCTATCTCTGTTTATATTTATATCTCAACATCCATACAACCGCCATACAATTTCCGATCTATTCCTCTTTCTCTCTTCCCTTCTTTTGGCACCCCTTTATCCGTCTCTGACTCCCCACATCTTTTTAGGTCTCCGCCTTTCTCCTTCGCGATCTCGTGCTCAATCTATCCCCATTTTCCTCTCTTTATCTCTCTGTCCCGCTCTCCCCCTCTCACTCCAGTTTAACCATTTTACGTACACCACTAACGTTCTAGTAGACAACGTAGATACGAACCTGCGAACGAATGTGCCTGCCCACTTGAAGTACTGCTCGTCTCGCTGTTGGAACATTTTCCCATAGAGCCATATTCCGATGATGTTGATGTAACAGAACTCGATCACGTGATGTGGGTCGAACGGGTTACCATGGTTACTGGCGACGTCCTGCATTAGCAACGCGACTTCACTCGCTATGATCGTGTTAAACTTCTCAGCGACTTCAGGAATGGCCGGATTCAAAGCCGCTCGAACGTGTTTGATTTTCTTGCGTTAAATTTTGGAGGCTCGAGTGAATGCCACACCGAGATTTTGGTCACCACCTTGCTCCCACTTAAAAGATAAAAGATCGGGCCGGTCGGCAAAGATGTGTCCCTTCTCTATGATGGCCTCCGCCCACGTTTCGCAAGTGTTGACAACAACCGCGCGCTTTTGGCCTAGGTTCAAACTGAATATGTCCCCATATCGCTCCGACATCTTGGTTAAAAAGATCTCCGGTCGGTTGCCGAGTTGGAACATGCTGCCGACGACGGGCCACCCGCTTGGGCCGGGCGGTGGGTTACCCCGCCAGCGGTTTGGTCTCAGTAGCAAGTAGCCAACAAACAGGGCTAGAGCCACGATAGCCAGGTTCATAGGCGCGAGCCACGTTGCTACACTTACAACAGCCATCGTTAGAGACGTGAAGTTGTGAACACTCTCCTAGGTGAGCAGAGTGTCTATGAAGTGCTGTCTTTGCCCCGGGCTGCATTAAATACCCACTTGTCAAGGACGTGAGCGAAATAGGCGGGATATATGTTTTCTCGAGGCAGGGTCCGCGTGCAGCTCCGGACTTGCTGTGTGTGTGTTGGTGTTGTTGTGTGTGTGTGGTGGATGAAAGTCAACAAGCACGTGGGACATAGAAATACACACGGGATATCTCTTCCAGGCACTGCCAGTATGTTTAGGGATATATATATGGCACATCACACGTGCAAATAACATGAACAAATTTGTTAGCAAAATAGGGAATTAATATAAGTATCCTTGTATCAATTCAGGTGACGTACGAGATAGTCTCACTCTTTCTCTCTCTCTCTTTCTCTCTCTCTC